AGAGTGTCAACTTAACCGGTTAATTTTAAATTGAAATAATAGAAATTTGCCGATTTCCAATTTGACAATTGCCAAAAAGAAATTTGCCTTTTGTTTAAAAGAGGAACGCGTTGAAATGATTTTTTTGTGTTACATTCAAAGTTATATGTGAAGAAAAACTATGATAATGTATTAATGTATTTGTTAAAAAATAACGTTTTTCTTCTCTCCTGTAAAATTTTTCAAAACAGAGATAGGCATTATTCTTATTAGGGCGACGTTATGTGGTAATTACACGTCTGTTTCTAACATTTCATGTTACGGTGCCGATTTCGGCAGAGCAAAAAATACAACCTTACTTGTTAAGTGTGAGAAAGATTCTGGGTGGTTCTATATTGTTTTTTTATGCGATTGAAACATTATTTTAATTTTGTTTTATTTATGGATCGAATGATGAACTATGATGTTATTTTTATGTTACCTTTTCTTTTCATTATTTATACAGGGTGGGTTGGTTATAAGTGTAACTGACGTATCTTGTTAAAAAATGTCATTTTTGAACATTCATTATGGTCTGAATTATTTACTAAACTCAGAAATTATAAACTCCAAACAAATTAGATCTTACTGTGTAAACGTAACCAAAGCTATTGCTGACCCTCTAATCTCAATTTTTTTGTTTCACTCTTCCATCGATTGGCGCAATAAAATATCCATATGGAAAGTAATAATACCTTTTCCCAATACAACAAAGAAACTGTTGATTGAAATCAGCACTCAAGGAGAAATTCATAAAAGAAATCCTTATTTTTTGTATCTACAAGAAGGTTTTTCCAATTTGTACTTTTATATTTCTTGATAAAAATAATGAATTGGAATGTTTTTAAATAAAGCTACATGGTAAATGTCTAGTTTGAGCTCTTTTCGATTACGGAAAAACTAAGCATTTTTTAAATAAAAGCAGTATGTATATGCCGTTTTTCAATTAATATTTTCAATTTTACGGAAAAGGAGGTGAATAGGGATTCTGGGTAGATAAAACAATGTAAATTTTGATATTATAAAATATTGTTAGGGCAAGCAAAATTATTAGAAATGAATTGCTATATTTTTGATCATAAATAATTGGACAGTAAACTTTTTGTGCCACTTGGCAACATCGTAAGACGTCAAAGTAGCGTATCTCAGCTTTGGTTAGAGAACATTTTTTGTGAAATATTTTTCTTCTAAAAAATTAATTGTGTCGTTATTATTAATAATACAGTAAGTAGGCTTTGAAGAGTATTATGCATAGATATATAACCAAGACAGATAGGATTATTTACAAAATTTTTGAAGAATGAACGGTGGTGTCCGCGGTAGAAACTCAATAATCGGATTGAACATGGATGCCAAGTTTACGTGCTTTTAACTATAGATATATATATATAACCAATACAGATTACACAATTTTTGAAGTCAACGCGGATGATCCTCGACAGAAATGCAATATTTGGATAAAATTAAAATATTGATGCCAAGTTTGCGATGTTTTCAACTGTAGTAATGTTATTGCGTTTGTTGAATTACTGTTAGGTCTTTAAATTGTCCAAAAAAAAATAATGTCTGACAACAGCGGAAGTAGAGTAGACCGCAATTGTGGAGGGTCGTATATTGTTTCATTCATAAAAATTCCTTCGATACAGTACTAGTCCAGGAGCCAGTGAATTTTTTCGTACTTGTTTTCCCGGTCTGTGTATATTTAAATAATCTATTCTCGGTGAACTGTATATTTAAAATGGAACGCCAATTTATTAACAAAAGTAAGCCAGATTGAATTCGCGCATTAAGTCACATCGATACAAGTGAGATTGTTTACAAAGTGCCTTTGCAGGCCTATTTTGCCCATTTCATGTATTTGTTTTTAAATCATGTTAAATTACTATTTTTGAAACTCAACAAGGAGAAAATCCAATTAACTCTTCCGTTGTGTATATATATATAAGATAAATTAGTAAAGTATTAATACTAAAATTTTAATGTAATTTACAGAAAATAGCTAGGTATGTATTTGTTTTTAAATAATTTGATAATTTATGAAAAAAGGGAGTAAAAGTGGAATGACCAGTGGCCAGTAGGTCAGTCAATACAAAGTATCATATATTTATATTATAACATAACTAAAATACCTACATCTTTTAATCATAAGGACATAAGTTAAAAACCATTTTAATATATGCATTAGAATGAAGTAATAATAACTTGAAGAGACGAGGTCTTAAAGTAATAGCTGGTACAGCATGTTTTTTAAACGTTTCCTCATTGCTGCTAGAATGAAATCACTTACTATGAAATGTGCTCTAAAAACGGCATTTATAGCAGTCAGTGTTCAGTCTTATGATCTCTTCCTAAAGTCCTCATCCAAACTGCATACATATTAAACAATTATTAAAAAAAAAAACACATTATATACCTATATAGTTTTCGGTTCTGGGTGCCCTAAAAGAGGACACTTAGCCGACAATTTGGCTCAGATAGCTAAAACCCAAAAGTCACACCCCGAACCAGGGCGTATTGCTATCCTTTTAAGTAAAAAATAACTACAAATAACTTACCTGAAAAATGAAAGCGTCTAACTTTACAGCAAAAAAACCATACACTTTTTCCCATTGTTGCAAGCACCTGATGACGATTAGGTAGACATCAACTAGAAGCATGTACTTAATGGTTATAAAGCTTATCTTAACACAAAAAGAATAAAGCACTAGTCGAAAAGCAGCAATCAAATATAAACAGACCACAATATTAAAATTAAAATTAAAAATTATATAAAAGACAAATACTCTAAAAGCGCAAAAGATCAGAACCAAATAAAATGAATAACCATAATAACCTAAAAATCACACTAAAATTGCAAAAACTATTACTGTAAAATCATGAGATTACATCAATAATGCATATGCGTCGGAGTATCGCAAATGTCAAAAGTACAGTGTTTCCATGAAAATTTAGCTGTTTTTAACAGTATTATAGGACCGTTTCTACCACGCGCATCCAACGATATTGGCGTTCCACAGTTCACTGTATTTTCCTCACACCTCTAGTATAAATGATTTGACATAACGAAACTAACAATAATTATAATTAATGTAGAGTAATAAGTGATTCGTGAATTCTAAATAAAACAATTATTATATAAAAGTGTAAAAGGAAATGTAATTTATTTCCCTATTTTCTTCTGTAATATCTTCAATTATTATGTTTAATTTTTATAAATAAACCAACTGGTTAGGTGAAACATTGTGATATAAGATTTTATTTATGTGTCCTATGCGTACACTTTAATATACAAAACACCTGGAACGTTCTTTAAATAATTGTGGTCGTAGAAATAATTGTGTACATAACTCGTTTGAAAGTGTATTTTATGCACTTGCCAAATATATTATCCATACAAATTAATCAGACTATTTTTTTACTTAACTTCAGTACATCTCTTACTATTAAAACTATTTTTATCAATGAAAAAAAAGGGCCGTGTTCTCGTATGTTTTGACGCATTTTCGGCCTCAGCCCATCGGATCCCCCCTCTAAATATATATGAATTTTGCTTAGAATTGCTAATCCTACAATTCTCTATTCGTGCTTGCTGACTGGGAAAATAAATACCGAAAATCGTCACTGTCTCCTGGACTATACAATAGATGATGATGAGAACTTCACAACAAATACACTTTTATGAATGGCTAGTTGGGGATGTGGTATTATGCATTCGGTTCCGTCCGTCCGTCACGTCACATTTTTTGTCCGTACGATAATTCAAATACCGAAAAAAGATATCTACTTGAAATTTTTACCAAAAATCATGCTCTATAATAGGGGAAGAAACTCTTTGATTTTGAAAACAAGTATTAAAAGTAATTTAAAAAAAAACGACTTTAAAATCGTGCAGATGCCATCACTACATATAACCAAATTTATATGGGACCACCTCTGAAGTACCCACTTTCTAACAAAAAAAGAATCATTGAAATCGGACACGTGTTAAAGAATTATCGCTGAACATACATAAAAAAAATATTACGACGAATTGAGAACCTCCTCCTTTTTTGAAGTAGGTTAAAAAATGATTAAAAGGGGGTTAAAATTAAAAAAAAAATCATAAATCAAAAAAAGAAAAGCTATATCGACATGAAATTTTTAGTAAAAATCATGCTCTATAAGCTCTATTGGTTCTGAAAAAAATCTGAATAAAAATGAGGGGTTAAGGGGAGGTTGAAATATTTAAAAAATCCTAATTCAAAAACGAAAAATATACACTGGAAATTTTTAGCAAAATCAAGCTCTATAGAATAAAAGGGGACAAAAAAAATTTAAAAAAAAATGTAAACAAAAGGGGGTGGTTAAAAGGGGAATTGATAAAAAAAATAGGAAATCAAACACCAAAAGCGATATCAACATGAAATTTTTATTAAAAAACAAACCCTATAAAGGAATAAAGCCTTTTGATTGTGAACAAAATATGAATTAAAATGGGGGTTGAAATATTGAAAAAAAATCCTAACTTGGAAATAAAAAAGATACCAAATTGAAATCTTCAGAATAAATCAAGCTTTATAAGGGGATGATGGGGCATAATGGGGAGGTCTGGTAAACTGTGAAGAGAATAATATAGAATGCAAAGCATTGTCTTCATTCTAGTTATTAATGTAATGTGAGCCATTTCATTATTCAGTCATGCTCTATCCTCCAGGTCCCTCTCTATCTTATTTGGCCTCTGAGGCCTTTAAGACTTTCAAACTAAATTAATTAGAATGTATTGTTTTAAAATAAATAGTTGTTTAAAATAAACAAAAGTCACATTAATTTGAACCAATATGGAAATAATTTTTTTTGTTTGCAATAGTAATACATACAAGAATATATACTTAGTTTTTTCATATGCGAAAAGAGTTCAAACTAGACAATGACCAGATACATTAGTTCTTTTATTTATGGTTTATATGGTAGGTACCTATGAAATGTTTAAGTAAACTAAAAAATAAAATCCAACAACAGTAATAACTTTAATTATAGCAGTTAAAAAATATTATAAAACTTCATTAATTATTTTTCTTCAGATTTCTCTTTATTTTCATTACTATCTCCTTCACCAGTCTGCTTCCTTTTTGATAACATTCCAGGCCTATATATAGCTATTGTAGGTCTATCTTTGTTCCGTATCCTTCTTTGATTTTGAGATTCAGAATCTCTTTCTTTATGCTTACTGTCTTTATCGACTTTCTCAATATCTCTAGGAGAGTTTTCATCAGTTTTTAATTTTTCCAAATCTTCTTTGAAAGAATTTTCATGTATTTGTGGTAGTTTATCTAGATCTTCATTGTGTTTACTGCTAGAATCTTCAGCTTTCTTCTCATCAGCTTTTGCCTCATCTATTTTCTTCTGCTCAGCTTTCTGTGCCTCCATTTTTCTTTCCTCTCGTTTTTCACTGTACTTTTTAACTTTCTTTGGATAAGTTTTTGGTTCAAACTCTTTTTTAAACTCATATTTTTTCTCTTTTGGATTATCAGTTTTGTAATCAGGATATTCTTTCCTTGGAAATCTTGGCTTTGGCTCTTTCCTTCTCTCCTCGAATCTTCTGTCTTCATATCTTCTATCTTTGTTCTTATAATAAGACTTTTCATAGTATCTTTCCTCTTTTTCAATCTTCTCTTCTCCTTCTTCAGATTTTTCACTCTTAACTGTTTCCAATTTAGGATGAGACTTTTTAGTTGGTGATTTCTCTTCAGAAATTTTCTTCCGGTCATCATAATCTCTTTTTTTATCAAATTCTCTTCGTTTTCTTTCTTCTCTTCTTAATTCACGAATTTTCATACGTTGTGCTCTTTTATTCTTTATGTACTCTAGTAAAGGAGTTGTTAAATCGTTTTTATTCTCAGTAGAAGTTGTAAGTTGAAGAGTATATTCTGGTTTTTCATCCAACTCTTGGGGTTTTTTCAAAATATCTAGAAAATCTGAATAGTAGGGATCCGATTCAATACTACCAGCTTTAGGATCCATTCGATTTTTACCTCTCTTCTTTGGAATTTTTTGAAAAGACGCAAATTCAACAACACAGGGATATTCATTACCCTTTGCATCCAAGAAAACATAATTATCAAATCTCTCTTTAAAATTATATACATCCTCATGTTTTACAAAGTTTACATATACTCTGGAAAAAGCATTTTCGCCTAAACTAAAATCTCCACTCACAGTATAAATATAATCGTAATCTGGTATGGGAGAAACTTGTTTCAAAAATGTTTCTTGATCTATCGTTGGGGGTAGTCTTCGAATTATGACTTTGGTTGAAGGTTTTTCTTTTTTATCAGCCTTTTTTTCAGCCTCAGGTAATGCCATTGTTCAAATATTTTTTAAAATATTGCTTTCAAATCATTATTTCCATAAAGTAAATATTTTACTTATTCTTATTCTCGTCTTTCGTTTCGCTTATTGTCAATGTCAAAATTCAATAGAGGACTTCTATAGAAGGGAAGTGCAACCAACTTGACAAATTTTTTTTGACACTAATGACATAAGAAATCGGGTCACATAAAGAGGCTGTTTTTTTGTTAAATTTTTAGTTTTTCTTATCTACTTTTATGCCGTTTAGATACCATGTTGTACCCGTAACGTAAAAAAGACTTTTTATTTTAGGGTATTTTACATTTAAATGTTGAAAACAGTTGTTAATATCAGCTGTCGATAATGTCAAAACATAAGCGTAGCATTGCATTTTATTTTTTGTTGTTAAAAGTCTATTTGTGCGTTTCCCGCTTTCTTAAAACATTTTTTTCATTTGGTTTTATTTATTTATGTCGATTGCAAAATGTTGCTGCTACAAATACAAGTTCTATACAATATACAACCAACATACAATACTAGTTACGTTATGCCCATCTATGGTTACGCCTGTGTTCTACCATCACCTAGGGATGCGCACGATGTATCGATGTTAAAAAAACATCGATTTTTCTCTTTCGATTATCGATATTTTTATCGATGTTTTTTTATGCGATGTTTTCATTTAACATCGATGTTTTTTTATCTAATATCGATGTTTTTTAATTTTACTCGAAAAATATTGGTGTAGGAAACTACAGGTTGCTTGTCGGAAGTCACGACCTATTTGATTTACCGCCCATAGACGGAGATATTTTTTTTATTAAAAATGTTAATAGTTTTATTATTATGTAGGTACTTATTTTTTTATTTTAGATTTACAGATTTAAAATTTAGACAGGTAGCCTAATTAGAAATTAAAATATTATTTATCCTGAATTAGTGAATCCCGAATTAAACAACTTATTTGTATATTGTTCATTATCGAGTCAAAGTTCTTGATTTTGATTATTTTTCCCATTTGAATAATGATTTTTTCCATCTAATAATTAATACATTTAATCGTAGAAATTAAATTGATTTTTAATTGAGCGTGTTTTTTGCAATGTTCCTATCAGAAATTTAATCTTAATATTTTTTAATAATTAAAGTTATTCTAATTTTGACTTAGGTATAAAGTGGCATCTTTTGTAATCGCAGCAAGTGTAAAAATTATGTACTAACTATATTGAGTTGAATATATTGGGAAAAGAAAACAAATAAAAATAAACCATTTTTGGTATTAAAATCAATTGTTTTAGGAGAAGGAAAGTTGGTTATATAAAAATAAATTTGGTCAGAGAACTTATAATTACTAATAGTTCTGGTTCGTTTGCTATTTTAAAAATCTAAATCTATTATAAATTTGAACAAAATAATCGAAACAAACAACCAGTGACATAGTTTTATTGTAAAAAAACTAAAAATATTCATACATATCTATGTAAAATTACACATTTTCTTGAAAATTAACAAGTTTTGGCAAGAAAATGAAAACTGTTCGTGATGATAAATATTTTAAAAGTAATGATAATAATAATTATTATTATTATTATTATTATGCTAAATAAAATGTATTTAAAATAAATAAACAACAATAGTACGTATTTTTATTTAATTTTCATATTTTGGAAAAATAAAATTGCATCTATTGTGAATTGAACCGCGTCGCGAAATGCAAAATTGACTACATGTTCAATGCTTAACTGAGCTAAAGAGTCATGTTAAGTGTGTGTATTTTATGTTTTTAGTCGATATTTTTTACAACTTTCAGTTCTCTGACGTCTTGTTTGCAGGAATCACAGGCAGGAATTTTAAACTAAATCCTTGCATATGACAGTTCCTGATGGTCCCGCCTACCACTTTACAAAATTCCAGCCGGAGGTACGATCATACCATAGACTTAATATTTTATCTAAGAAGGATCGTACTACCTTGCAGCCGCTAACTCTGAGTCTATTAATAATAATAAATAAAAATAAGATTATTTCCAATGTCTTGTTTATTTGTTCGTTTATAAAAAACATCGATGTTTACAAAAATCGATGTTTTCTTTCCGATTTTTTTACAACATCGATAGTCTGTATTCGATGTATCATTTGATGTCAACATCGATGTTTTAAAAATTTTGCGCATCCCTACCATCACCATAATTGACAGCTAACAATGACAAAATGTTTCAACCTTTAAATGTAAAATACCCTAAACTAAAAAGTCTTTTTCACGTTACGGGTACAACAAGGTATGCAAATGGCATGAAAGTAGATAGGAAAAACCAAAAATCAAACTAAAAAACAGCCTCTTTATGTGACCCGATTTCTTATGTCATTAGTGTCAATTTTATTTTGTCACGTTGGTTGCACTTCCCTTGTATAGAAGCAATGAACAGGGGTGCTATTTTCAAAGTCGAGAGAATTCATTTCTCTCGAGAGAAATGTCATACGTCAACGTAAAACAGTATTTTTAGGGTCCTAAGGGCCAGTGTAAACTCACTGATTGTTTCTCACGGTTTATTTAGAGATAATTAATATCCTCCTAAGAATTTTAATCCTCGAGGCCTTTAAAAACAGCATTTCCACATTGACGTATGACATTTCTGATGAGAATCTAGAGAGAAATGAGTACTCACACGGTTTGAAAATAGGTCCCCAGGGGTGCTATTTTCAAAGTCGAGAGAATTCATTTCTCTCGAGAGAAATGTCATACGTCAACGTAAAACAGTATTTTTAGGGTCCTAAGGGCCAGTGTAAACTCACTGATTGTTTCTCACGGTTTATTTAGAGATAATTAATATCCTCCTAAGAATTTTAATCCTCGAGGCCTTTAAAAACAGCGTTTCCACATTGACGTATGACATTTCTGATAAGAATCTTGAGAGAAATGAGTACTCACACGGTTTGAAAATAGGTCCCCTGGAGTGGGGTAGAATGCTTGTCAATAGGCTTGAGATGCGACTCTATGGGCGAAGACAGGTTATTTTTCATCTCACTCGGGAGTATTTATAACGACCATTTCCTATTACACTTTGTTATTGTCTGATCCACCAGCCTGTGGATTGAACAATAACAATGTGAAACAGAAAATGGTTATTATAAATACTCCCGAGTGAGATGAGAAATAAAAATGGCTGCGCCCATAGAGTCACATCTTGTTCAATTGATAAAATATGCACATTAGCTTTCTACCCCACTCCAGTTCATTGTATAGAAGTCCTCTATTAGGCATTCCAACGACCTGTCAAACAATACCTGCCAGTGGGAAGGTCTCGTATATCTAAGGGGGTAGCGACATAGGCCCGTATTTATAAACAAAACTCAGCTGAGTCGGACTTGGGTAAGTCGTCCTTGAACGAAAATCGAAGTTCGGTTTTATCGCGTGAATTTAGAGATGGGTAGTAACAAATCCGTAAATGTACATAACAGTTACATATTTGCTAATATCCATCTCTAAATTCCACTCAAACACCAGAACCACCTAGAACTTTAGAGACGTTGTAACCGAACTTCGATTTTAGTTCAAGGACGACTTACCCAAGTCCGACTCACGTAAGTTCTGTTTATAAATACGGGCCATAGTCTTGCATCTTGGACGCTATTTTTATTCGAAATATCAGTCGTCAATTCTGCCAGTTTTTAAAAAAATGTACAAGCAGTTTTTTTAATTAATATTTTTATAGTGTTCGATATAAAATATTTAAATGTAATCCATTATTCAAGAATACATCGTATGTCGCAACCGTCAGATCTACCAAACCTGCCCACTGGCAATTCATTTGTTTGGAATGCCTAATTGACTTTGACAGAATAATGATAAGGTTCTTTCGTTCGTTAGGTGAGTTCGGATAGGCAGGGGCTGGAGCGGGACAAAAGTGGAGGGTGCTTTTAAATGACATTTAAGCGTGTTAAACTGTCACTACTCGGACTAAACCGAATGCAATGTCTGTTGGTCACTGTGACAAGAGAGAGGTCCGACACGCCCAACATAGGGCGCGGCCATTTTGATTCCTATGATACAGTGTATAGCTAAAGAATCAGATCGCTCACTCTGCGTCGGCACTTTTGATCTCAATGTTCCAGTTTATACACTGCGCAACTCGGATAATACAATATATGACAACCGCCTATAATAAAACAGCAGTCTTCTGCGTATCCTGGATTTGTATCCCTGGAGTGGATGTTATTTTGGAACTTTTAACTGGTCCGAGTGAGCTAACTGATTCTTTAGCAATAAACTGTGACTCCAAAAATAATGTTCACTGACACCACATACAAGGTTCTTTCGTTCGTCCCACTGGTGTAATAATGAACTACACCAACCCACACCCATACCTTTCGTTTGGTCCGGTGTAAAACCCACTATACCTTCCTGTCGGCGATGTGGTGTACACTGGTGGATATTTTCTCCTCCAGCTATTTAGCAGGAGTGAATTACACTCGACGATGTGTATAAGTCTGGTATAAGGAATAAGGAGGAAGTAAATTAGGGTAAATAAGGTGGTGTAACTGGTGTAATTTACACTGGTGGACACTACACCAATAGCGAACGAAAGAACCTACAAATGCTGCGTTTGAGAATACACATCGGATGCATCTGAGATGTAGTAAATCTTTGATCACGTGATTGAGTATACGTAAATGTAATGGGACAGATGTGGACAAAAAAACGCTCGAGATGTAAAAAATGCATCCACTAGGCGAGTTCGGTCAGTCAGGGGCTGGAGCGGGACAAATTTTAGGGTGCTTTTAAATGACATTTAAGCGTGTTAAACTGTCACTAATCGGACTAAACCAAACGCTAAAAGAGTCGTTTGGAGTTAAAAGTGTTAAAGGAGTTAAAGGAACGTGGCAAACCGAACGCAATGTATGTGGATTCTCAAACGCATTTGATTTACTATACGGGGCAAGAGAGAGGTCCGACACGCCCAACATAGGGCGCGGCCATTTTGATTCCTGTGACACAGTTTACAGCTAAAGAATCAGATCGCTCACTCTGCGTCGGCACTTTTGATCTCAATGTTCCAGTTTATACACTGTGCAACTCGGATAATACAATTGCCGCGTTTGAGAATCCACATCGGATGCATCGGAGATGTTGCGAATTTTTTATCACGTGATAGAGAATTAGATCTGAATGTAGATGTAATAAACAAACGCTCTAGACTTT